GTGACAATCGGAAATTCATCACGATGAAGTAGAAAATATTTGAAGATCCTGTGCGTGAGGTGAGCACCCGATCCCAGCCAGCTTTTTGCTCTCTGGTGGGTGATTTCAGTAGAAAAGTGTCTCAGTGGGACCCAGGAGCAGCAGATATGAGGTGGGCTGGGCCATTCTCCCTTGTCCCTGCTTCTTTGGACGGACTTGCATGTTAAAAACTTGCCACCTCTTCTGTGCTTCCAGACATGGGCACAGAGCTCAGACTGCAAAGAGCCAAACACTGTGATAAAGTGAGACTCTTGTGGCAGGTTCCCCTCCCTGATTTTTTTTTTTTTCTTTTTAAAGCTTCCAAAGATAAATTGCATTTTGCTTCAAGATAATGAAATTTCCTTGGAGAAGCGACATATTTTTCTGTAGCTTTTGCATTCGGAACATGAAGAGAGTTTTTATTTTAAATCTCCATTGAAAGTGTTTGTCTGTCTATATTTTGCGTTCTTCCCTGTGAATGTTCTGACTTCACAGAGCTAGCAGGGACGTGGAGATGGAGTGTTTCTGTCACTTATTATAGCTTGCCTTGGCATAAAATTTAATCTTTGGAAATTTTTTTTCCCTCCTAAAGAAATGAAAGTTGAAGCCAGATTAGAAACAGATAAAAAGATGTCATCCATCCTCAGACAAAGCAGTTTTGTTTTTCTCTTTCGCATTTGCCTTTGTTAATCCTCTGCCTTCAAAGGGAACAAAGAGATCCTTCCACCTGAAGAGACTGGGAAAAGAGAAAAAACGAGGAGCAAGCGGCACTCCTGATCTGTGCTTGTGTTGTCCCATGGCAGGCACGTCTGCTGGGATTCACAACCACTCTCGAAAGCCCAATTAGGAGGAAAAAACAGGCGGCAGAAATTGCAGCATCTATGAAACAAAGCGGGTTTTTTTGTTCCTAAGAGTAACTTCCTGATCTTTACCTGTTTGTGCTGTTTACTGCTAGAGGAGCAGGTGCCTTCCCTGCCTCCATGGCAGTGTGGAGTGGGGGACACAGCGTGTCCATTGTGTTACATGGAGCCTGGAGTCCCACCACAGCTGCCTTAACACAACTCCCCTCAGTGATTAATATGTTCTCAGGCAGTGAGAGGCTCGAGGCACTTGGCACTTGACTGTCTCCTATTTCGGAACTTAATAAACAGAATATTCCAGCAGAAGAATCTGCAATTTATCTTTCAGTACTGTGCGGGGAGTTACTCCATGTCCCGGCTCTGGCTGTGTCTCTTGCCCAGGGAATTAATAGACTCTTCCATACCCCAGCTCCCTCTGTTCTCACTCTGGTTGCCAAATTAACCTTCATCTCACCTACTTTTTCTTCACGTCTCGCTTCAATTTAGTCCTCAAATTGTTCACATGACAAAGGAGTCGTCCTTCCTACAGCTTCTTCTGCTCTGATAAGACACCTGAATTTTCTGTGAATATCTGAAGAGGACAATAACTTCTCTCCCTCCCTCTCTTCCGTTTGCTTCCCGATGGTTCAAGCCCAGAAGTCTCCCTGAGGTTATTTCCCCCAGGAGTACAGTAAGCAGTTTGGACTGCAGTGTGCCAAGTGGCTGAGTTGTGCCTGAATATACCGAACGTTTAATGCTGCTAATTAATGATATTACATCATATTACATTTATGTGGGCTTACAGGAGGGGGTTCAGCTCTGCAGGTGGTGCCAGGGCCTGGATGCACCTCACCACCGCCACCCATGTTCCCTGTCTCATCCGGCTAGCGTGTTGTGGCGCACAATGGACAAGTCTGGAGTGCTGGAAAACTGAAGGAACCTGCTTTCCTTGTCAGGGAGCGGATTTACCAGCTCCTCAGGCTTTGACTCCTGGGAGGATGCTGTAGGTGCAGGCTTCTTCTCTGCAATTAACGCACAGGCTGGCAGCAGCCCGTGCTGCCTTGGCAGGATTAGGGATGCAGGAACGCTGCTCCTGCGCTGTGTGCAAAGCTTCCTGCCCTCCCTGCAGGCCTGGCCTCCGCTTGGAAAATAAACCAGGAGCGTCACGGCTGCTTTAGCTCTGTGCTTGTTCTGGCTCCGGGAGACTCCCATGTCCTCTGCCTGCTCCGCAGGGCTGATGTGGGGGAGGCTTGTTTGACCTTTCTCCTGCTCTGAGCCGCTCCTACATTAGTGAGTGTCTTACCAGGATCCTCCTGCCACCAAGGGTACCATCCCAGCAAGCCCTTGGTCTGAGCTGGGTGGTAGTTCTGGTGCACTCTCCAGGTGATGTCACAGGATGTGTCAGGCTCTGAAGGCTTGAGATGGCCACTTCATAGCTCAAAGGATTTGGGGTGACCCCTCCAGAGTCCCCCTTGCAGCATGGTTGCCCACAAAGGCAGCCAGGTGGCATTCGTCTTGGTGCTTCAGCTGGTTCTACCACAGCCGGTATGGTGGGGACAGTTGGGAACTGGTGCAGGCTGTGACCTCTTTGGTCTCAAAGGTGGTTACAAGGGATTTTTGACAAGGAGATCTGTGCCGCAGTGTATTGTAACTCTTGATGCTTCCTTTCACTGGGATCCCAGATCTTCATCCTCCACAAAGGGTTTGGCATCGCCTGAAGCAGCATCTGAGAACAAAGGCAAAGCTGTTAATTAAGACAGAGCTAATTCTGGCAGCAGGCTGCCGCCATCTCAACGCGCTGCTGGCTGCGAGCGCAGAGGGATCGGCCGTGCACTCTGGGCACACGACTGCCCAGAGCCTTCCTGGAGGCTCTCTGTGCTCTGAGCAGGTCTTTGCCCAGTGTCCTGTTGCACAGGTGCCTGGTGGAAAGAACTGGAGGTTGCTGGTGGCCCAGAGAGTGGTTTTGCCTTCCCTGGGGTGTTTGCTGAGTGCTGTGGTGCTGCCCCTGCCTGGGCTCCAGGGTCTTCTGCTCCGTGGGGCTGATGGCATCTCTGGGATGGGTTTTCTGGGGGAAAGCAAGAGATGGGACCTCACCAGTGGCCGGTGGTCCTGGGTTGGGACCAGGTCATGTGTGGGGCACTGTAGGAGAAGCCTTCTGGCTCTGAGAGGGAAATGAAGGAAAATGTACCCAAAACCCCATTAGGCTTTAATGTCTTTGGTGTGTCCTCCAAGGGGACGCTGGTGGGCATAGTCTCTGGGGCAGCTGGTCACCACAATCCCATCAGGTGAGCAAGGAAGAGTGGCCCTGGGGCACAATGCTGCTGCCTTCCTGTGCCCACCCTCCAGATGGCAACACAGGTTTTTTGGAGCTATGTCCTCCAGGAGAAGCGGAGCCTTTGCTGTTGGGAGACTCGGAGCAAGGCTGACAGAACAGAAAGCATTTTGAACAAACACAGCTGGCTTTCACCCAGCGCAGCCAACTCTTTGGCCAGCTGAAAAGAAATCAGAAGAATATTGATGTATTATTCTTTTTTTCCCCATACAGAAATTGTCAGGCTTTTTTTGGTCAAACGTTAGTTTCTGAATGTGAGTTTTTCAGTTGACAGCAATTATTTGGGAGAAAAAAAAAACTGAGGCAGTTCTCTGTATAAGTCACAGGCTCAGCTCTTCGTCTCTTGTATTCTCAAACGATTAACATTTTTTTGCTTTGCACATCATGAATATTCTATACTTGAGCTGTTACTGAGTTGTGCTAGATCAGATAAATAACATGGTGTTGCTTTTATGGCAGACTGGATAAAGATGCAAATAATACTGACATTTACTTCACAGTTTTCTTTCTGTGATCCTCTGAGTGAGTAAACTGGATTGCTGAGATATTCATGGGAAGGAAATGAAGAAGGGTTGTCAAGATAAAAGCAAATTTCCTTAAAACTTAGCCAGAAGGTTCTTGGCAATTTTTTCTGTTATTTGCTCAGCTGAATGGGAGCTGCTTGAAATATATTTTGCACAACCGCAGAAGGAAAACTCTTGTTCCCGAGGCACCGCTGTTTTTTTGCTCACTCTTTCCCTGAAGAGCCGCTGGTTTTCCAGCGCTCGGTACCTCCGCGGGGTTTCTGGTCTCACCGTGGCTGCAGGTGGGCGGCCGTGACCGCAATGAGCCCTCGCTGCCTGCCCTGCCCGCTCTATTTGTCCTCTCCCACATGTGCTGGGATGCTATTTTTCCTTTCCCACGTGTGCTGGGATGCGCAGATCCGTGGGGAGGGAGGGATGGGGACGGCTGTGCTGTCTGGGTGCGGAGCGGAGCTATGGGGAACGCTGAGCCCTGTGAAGAGTGACCAGGGTGGGACGAGGGGGGAACAGGGTGTACTTCTGGATGGTTCCTTTCGGAGATTGTGGATGTGGATCACTCCTGGCCGTGCGTGTGGGCACCAGGACGCGGCCCTGGGCGGCAGAGCCGGGGTGCAGTGCCCGGGGTGCTGCTGAGGGATGCTGAGCGCGCTGGCGTCCCCCGGGCGGGGCAGCTGCTCCCCCGCGTCCCGGGGCCCCTCTCACCCCGGAGCGATGCCCAGGGAAGGTGAGGGTGGGGAGAAGGCGGGGGCTGAGGGGACCCCGCACTGCCCGCTGTGGCCGCTGTGTCTGAACCTGAGGGGAGCGCTGGTGGGGGCAGAGGGGGCACATCCCTGCGGGGCTGGTGGTTGGCTTCAAACTGCCTTTGGCGGTGAGACAGGAGAACGGGATCGCGGCAGTCTGAGCTCGCCGGCCCTTCTCCGCGTCCTGTCCCCTGCTGTGCGCTGTCCCCTCCCGTGTCCCGGCGCTGTCCCCGCCGGAGCCGCCCCGTCGCGGGTCCCATTGAGGGGAATCATGAAGGGAAAGTGCCGCGGGCCCGCCAGGGGGCGCTCTCCCCCTTCGCACGGGCGCGCGCGGCCGCCGGGGGCGTGCCCGGGGCGGGGCGCGGCGCGGGGATTGGCGGGGCGGGCCCAGGGGCGGGGCCAGGCGGCGCTGGGATTGGCGGGGCGGTGCCGGGGGCGGGGCCTGGCGCGGCGGGGGCTGGCGGCGGCGTGGCCGCGCGCCACTCGCGGCTGCGATGTGACCCGGGCGGGCGGGGAGCGGCACCGGCTGCGCCTCCGGCCCGTCCCGGCCCCGGCCCCGGCCCGCCCTGCCCCGACCCGACCCGCGGACGCACCCCCATGCCCGCTCACGGCCGCCCGCCGGTAGCGGCTGACGCCTGCGGGGCCCGAGGAGGCGATGGCTGCGGATCTGGTGGTGCTGCTCTGCCTGGCCGCCGCCGCGGCCGCCGTGGAAGGTGAGCAGCGAGCGGGACCGCCGGGAGCGGGAGGGATGCGGAGCCGCGATGGGAGCAGCCGGGGAGCGGCTCCCCCCGCCGTGCGGCACCAGCGTGGGACTGCTTCCCGGCCCCGAGCCCCGCCGCCGGTGCCAGCCCGCGGTGCTGGCAGCCCGTGCCCGAGGGTGCACCCAGTAAGGGGCCGGGGATGGCGGGGGCAACCCACCCGGATCCGACTGCTCTCGCTCGGGTCCCCTTCGCGGTGGAGCCCTGCCTGGGGCCGCGATGGGGCAGCCCCGGAGACCTCTCTGGGTCCCCACTCTGGTCCTCGGGGCCGCAGTGGGGGCCGCCTGCGGGGTCTCCTCTGGGTCCCCTCGGGTCCCCGGGAACGCTGCGGAGGCCGTGGCGGTGCGCGGAGCTGCCTCTGGTAAACCTTCCTCCTCCCAGCGCCAGCGGAGGATGGATGAACCGGGAGCCGTGGGCAGGTGGGCTCCGTTCCCTGGGATGAACTGAACCGGGGGATGCTTGCCCGTCCGTGGAGATACAGGGCAAGTGGGTGCCCATTCCCTCAGAACGGTCCGTGCCGATGGGCTGCGGTCTTTTCCCCATCTCCTGCTTGGTCCTGGGATTCACTGGGCACCGGGAAGGCTCACAGCTGAGACTCAGGCTCTGGGCAGTGGGCCTGGTGTGACAAGTATCGCTTATTTTAATTTTTTTTCTCTCTGTTTTGCCACTGCCACATTTTTTGCTGGTACAGCACAGGCTCGCGGCAGGGCTTGCCCAGCGCTTGAGCGGTGGCTGTGGCAGGGGACGTGGTACAGCCCCTCGCTGCTGGGCAGCGAGAAGTGTGTGGTTGCAGGGAGATGGTGCGCGGGGTCTCAAGCCGCTGCCGGCCGATGTGGGGCTGGACCCTCCTCGGGGGGGATTTATAATGTGAGCGTGGTTGTGGCTGAGCTAAAAGCTGTCTGAGGTGGCCGGAGACTCCAGCTCATCGAGGAGCTGTTTCAGGAGCTGGAATGCTGCTGCGATGGTCTCAAGTGGGGTTTGTGCCCTCCGCTCTCAAGCACAGCTGTCGGGATCGGGGCGGGCAGGCCCTCTTGCTGCAGCATCCTTTTTCCACGGGCTTTTGGCTAACGCAGGTGTTGGCTTTTCGTGTTCCTCGGGCTTCTTCCCCTCATCGCATCTCCGTAGGAATGCCTCGAGGTGGAGGCGCCGGTGCCTTGCCGAAGCGTGGTGCAAACGGGCGCGTGTTTGCTCGGCGGCGAAGCCGCACGTGAAGAGGCAGGACCTGCTCGCAGCGCTTGGCTCGCCGGCGTTTGCAGCGTCAGCTGCTTGAGGCACAGCTGGAGTCACGGCGGCTGGGACACCTCGGCTCGCTCCCGGTCCGAGGGCACTCCTGGGTATCACCCGGGGTGTTCCCCAGCTTGTCCCGGGCCACCCCCGGGAGCACTGGCAGAGCCAGCGTCCCTGCCCGGCACCGAACCTGTTGAGGAGCGGTGGTATTTCTACTGTGATGAGGAAGTTGCTTGGATAGTAAAGTAGTATCCTAGGAGAGATCTCAGATTTCTGGCAAAATTTTGGACGGGGGATTTCTGAGGGAGAGCAATCGCATTCTGATTTGGAGTCAAGGCGAGAGCTTTCTGGCGTGGTCGCCTTTTAATGGGGTTTATTTAAATCTTATTGAATCTTTTGGTGCAGAGGTTGAATTTGCTAGGTTGAAAAGGGGGTTTCTCTAACGGAGCTGAAGCATCTCCTAGGGCGTGACCTGCCCTGGGGTCTGGCTTTCCCCCTGGAGCATCCATAAAGCTGGATTTGCTGGCAGCCCTGTCTGACAGTGAGGCAAAGCCACGGCGGGCGCCCGGCTCTGCCCGGGGCTGCAGGAGCAACTGAGCGAAGGATGGCTCCCTGCATCCCAAATCAGCCAGCGAGACAAAAAGTCTTTTTTTCCGGGATGGTGGGGTGAGACGTCTGGGGGTCTGGACCCGGCTGGAGGGGAGGAGGATCAGCCGAGGTCAGGGCCGGGGCTGCCTGCGACCCTTTCCCGCTATCCTCCATAAAACCTTGCTAACTCATTGACTGCGGCACGCGAACCTGGAGGTAGAACAGTCACTCGTCTGACTTTTTCTACGCTTCCTTGATTTTTTTTTACCAAATCCCGTGGCTTAGCTGATCCTTTTCTGCCGGACACCTGGATGTTTGTATTGATTATTAATTTTTTTTTTGTGGCTTGGAAAGAGGAAGAAGGACGCGAGGAGATGGCAGCACCAAATACTCCGTCTCTCCCACACCCTGCAATCACTCAGGAGCCGCTCGCGTGCTCTCTCTCGTGTTAGCTGAACCAAATATAATCCCATTTAGCATATAGAGAGGGTGGTAATGGGCTGATGATGTACGTTTTAGCTCGGGGATGGAAATGTCAGGTGAGGCTGATGACCATTTTGGTGCAGCTCCTTCGCTATTTCACCTGCCTCCCCGCTCACCTCTCCGTCCCTGCCTCGCATCTGGTCTTTTAAAATTCAGGTTTTCCTCTCCGCGCTTGCAGCATCACGATTAAGCAAAGCGCAGGAGGGAGGTGGAAAGCCCTGCTGGGGGGCTGGCGGATCCGGCTTAGCTTTGCTTCCCGTGCTTATCCACTCGCTTGGGAACCGCACGCCTGGGAGAGGACCAGGGATGGGGTTTGGTTAGAAAGCGACGTCCCTGGATCCTGCTCCTCGCGTGCTGCCCGCCCCAGGCGCCCCTCTCTTCCCAGCTTGGCTCGGGATGTGCACATCTGTTGCAGGGCATCCTCTGGGCTTCCGCCAGGCGCCAGAGCGGAGCCTGTGCCTGTGCCGAGCAGGCTGAGAGCGGCGGCCGCCCTGCCCTTCCCATCGTCACCAGCACCATGTGAGCTCCCACCTTTGGCCCAGCTGCTCCGCCAGCAGCACAGCCGTTCCCAGGGAGAAGCTAGAAATAAGTCTCCAAGAGGGAATTTGCAAGTGCTAGTGTCCTGCGTGGGAATTTACAAGTGCTACTATCCAGCCATCCCTTTACTTTTGCGCCTTTTTTTTTTTTTTTTTTTTTTTTTTTTTTTTTTTTTTTTTTTTTTT